ATTTAAATTAATTAATTAATAATATTATAATTCAATTCCATTACCAACATGTTAAGAGCCTAATGGGTCACATTCAAAGGTTGCAATTTGGATTAAATTGAGAGTGGGATGATTTATGTTCAAATTGTAGGTTTTAACTACTAAGGACCTAATTAAAAGAGCTTAATTAGGTATTGGCTAAATATTATAATTGTTATAATATAAAGAACTTATTTTGTAAATTTTAATAAGTTAAACCTAGATATAAATATCATATTATAGTTACTCTTTTCTATAGAGAGAAAGAACAAAAGAAAAAAAAAGATTTTTCTCTTGACTGCCGCCACTTTTGAGAAGTTTTTTTGGAAAACTTCTCCTTTGATTCTTTGTTGGAAATCAAAGAAAAAATGAGAACAAATCGTTGTCCACTTGTTAGCACAAGCCCATGGCATAAATCTCTCTCCTTGAGAAAGATCCGTTGCGATCATGTGTATAACATTAAAGGCCAAGCAATTGAGTGGTTAGGATTCTTTCATACGAAAAGTGTTCATGTTTTGTTACCAAAAGGAATCTATTTGATTACGATATCACTTGGAAAGGTAGAACTTTTTTTGATTTTATATTGTACTTAACTTTGTATTAAACAACTAAGGTGATCTAAAGGTAGAAGGTGTGGTTTTTATTTTATTTCAATTTTTTTTCCACTACGTTGATGCTCTAATCATGCCGTTCCTAGCAGACGTGGCATGCCATGTGGCACCACACATGATGACATTGCAATGCCATATGACAGATCAATAATTTTTCAAAATTTTTTTGTGCCACGTCATAGAGTTTAAATTGAATAATAATATATAGTACATAGATTAAATTGAACAAAATTGAAATGTTGAAGGACTAAATTGAAAAAAAATATAAATCTTTAAGTAGATGATAGATATACTTATTAATAAGCTAAACATTTAAGTGTAAAAGATTTATGGTGTTAAAAAAATGTATAAATATTTTCTTATTTGATTATTTAATTATAAAAAATGTACATTAATTTATCTTGTTGTAAAACTTAAATTGAAATTCTCCTTCTATAAAAAATTTTTGATAAAATTTTTATGTTTAAAGTCAAATTTAAATGAATAACTTGTATTATGTTGGAAAAAAATAACATAAAAGGACTAAATAATTTTTTTTCCTTTTATTTATAATAGTATAAAAATTTGAAATTTATTTAGCTTAATTTTTAACTTAAGCTGAACTCAAATTAGCCAAATAGGTTGCTTTAATTACAACGTTCATAATTTACAAATACCTATTCTATTGGAATTATTCAACCATTACCCAATTTACCTTTTATTTAAATTTACTCAAAATTTTTTATAAAATGATTTTATTCTAGTTCAAATACCACAATCAAATTCTACTAAATTTAAATTTAAATTATTAATTTG